GTTGGCCACTATCTTTGACATGTAACCAATCATTTAATCAATAAAAATCGGACCATCAATAGCACTCGTATGTTGGCCATTACCAAAAGTGACCGCTAACAAAGAGCCGACCACCCGATCGGTAGATATCCAATGGTTGACGACAATGCGTTTATTAACAAAAATTTCGTTTGGATCAAATCGACAGAAGAGATTCGATAGGGAAATTAGCTTTCACGAACAACTCAATTAGACAATGTGGTTGGTGTCTTATGTCTTGACAAATTCAAGGACTTCTTTGGAGGTTGTAATGTGAAGAAACAAGTACAAACAAACTTGAATTCAATTGATAACAGTTAAACTTGTCATTTAATTACAAGTTCAAATAACATTATAATCGACACGACGAAACTGGGTTACAAACACTGAGTTACAGATAAACTGCTTCTAAGTACAAGAGCTACTCCAAGATAAGTTACACTACTCCTAGATTTTACATGAGTCATGAATTTGGTTGAAGGTCCTCTCTTCTTCGAATTTTCATCTTTATATGGTTTCATTGGCCATGCCATACTACCACGTGTCCATTTGCTGGCTCCTTTCATCTTCCCATGATCTGCAATTGTTGCAACTACCTTGAGTTCTATTTCCTTCTAAGGTTGCCATGTGTTACACCCTCAATCTTTCTTCTTGAGCCACTATCTTCATGCCATTGAATCTTGGACCTTTATTGCACATGATTATGCCCATGGGCAATTTTGAAGGCCCAAACATAACCATGATTTAATTAAAACAACTGAGTCTGTCTACAAATCCAAAACCATGTTGACAGCAATTTACATTGCCTCACTTTGTGCCCCACGTTTGCTACTTTTCCTTTCTTAACAAAAGGTTCTTCATCTGGTTCTGTTTTTGATGCTTCATCCTCCAACTTTGGTTCAAATCATCGCTTCAATAATTTTAGAGGCAGAACTCAGCACAGAGGAAGCCGAGGTGGTAGATCTCAGAATAATTTTTGTGATTTTCGTGGTGGAAACAGAACTAATCGACATTCTTCTGGAAATCGTTTTAAATCAGAATATCCTTCTGCATCTGTGTGTCAGATCTGTGGAAAATCAGGCCATATTGCTTTAGATTGTTGGTATAGACATGATAATGCTTATCCATCTACTACCACTACTACACTAAAGGCCTATACAGCAACAGTGCCTTCACCATCATCAGACTCTACTGTACCCCCTTGGTATACCGATTCAGCCGCTACAAATCATCTCACACATGACTTGACCAATTTTCAGCAATATCAAGAGTATCAGGGATTAGATCAAGTTCAAGTTGGAAATGGCTCAGGTTTGCCTATTCAACATGTTGGCAATGGTATTCTTCCTACACCATATTTTTCATTCCTTCTTTCCAATCTTTTACATGTTCCTCCTATATCTTCCAATCTTCTATCTGTTCATCAATTAACCAAGGATCACAACTGTCTTGTTATTTTTGATTCTGATTCTTTTATCATTCAGGACAAACACACACATAAAGTTCTGCATAAAGGCTACAATGTGCATGGTCTTTATCAAATGTCTCCACCATCTTCCATCTGTTCCAAGCAACCACAGGTTTTTCAGTCTTCCACTGGTTCTACTGCTTCAGTTTCTGATCTGCTGTGGCATAAAAGGTTGGGGCATCCTTCAACTGTCAAGCTGCAGCACTTGGCATCACATCTTCCAAATAAAACTAGTTTCAATAAAGCCATAGCTTGTACTGACTGCTATGTGTCTAAAAGTCATAGACTTCCCTTCCAATTGTCTTGTTCATCTGTTGATAGTCCATTTTCTCTTATTCATGCTGATGTATGGGGACCGTTTACTGTTGATCATGCCCCATTTCGATTTTATGTTTTGTTTGTTGATGATTGTACTTGATTCACTTGGATCTATCCTTTACACTTTAAGAGTGAAGTCTATGACAAATTGCTTGAGTTTAAAGTCTATGTAGAAAATCAATTTCATACTTCTCTTAAAATTCTACGAACTGATGGAGGTACTGAATTTGTTAACAAAAGAATAGCTGTCCTCTTCTCTTCCCATGGTATTATTCACCAAACCAGTTGTCCTTATACTCAAGCTCAGAATGGTGTGGCTGAAAGGAAGCATAGGCATATAACTGAAACCGCTATTACTCTTCTTCATCAATCTTCTCTTCCTTTAAAATTCTGGTTTGATGCTGTAGCCACTGCTGTCTTTTTAATAAATAGAATGCCTAGTTCTATTATGTCCAATACATCTCCATTGCAGGTTCTTTTTCACACACTTCCAGATTATTCCTTCTACAAAGTCTTTGGTTGTCAATGCTTCCCTTGGTTGAAACCTTATACTACTCACAAGCTTCAACCCAAGTCTGTCTCCTGTGTTTTCTTAGGCTATCATCCAACTGTTAAAGGGTATAGATGCTTAGATCCTCTAACTGGAAAACTATATCTCTCTAGACACGTTATCTTCAATGAATCTTGTTTTCCATATGCAACTACTGTTGCTTCATCTACTTCTCCTTCTTTCTCTTTGCTACATCTTCATCAATTTTTCTGGCCTTCTTCTACTTGTTCTGTATCTCAGATTTCTTCTTCTTCTCAACCTTCTCTTTCTCTTTCTCATTCTTCTTCTTCATCTCCTTCTCTTTTATCTGTGTCTCAAGCTTCCTCATCTTCTCCTCATCCTTCCATTTCCTCTCCTCATGCTATTCCTATTACCTCTCTTACTATTGATCTTCCTCTACCTTCTGCTCCCTCTTCTTCCAATATTCACCCTATGCTTACCAGATCCAAGACAAAACCTCCTGTTTGTCTTACTGCTGTATCAGATTTCTCTTATCTTCATTCTGAACCTCCCACTGTTGCAGCTGCCTTAGCCTCTCCTGTATGGTTTTCTGCTATGCAAGAGGAGTTTCAAGCTCTGCAACAACAATGTACTTGGGATCTTGTGTCTCTTCTTTCCCATAAAACTGCAATTGGATGTAAATGGGTGCATAGAATCAAACGTAATTCTGATGGTTCTGTGGCTAGATACAAAGCCCGATTGGTGGCTAAAGGGTACTTACAGCAAGAAGGAGTTGATTTTCATGAAACCTTCAGTCCTGTGGCAAAGCAACCCACCATTCGCATCTTTCTGTGTTTAGCTCTGCATTTTCAATGGCCTATTCACCAGTTAGACATTTCTAATGCCTTCCTTCATGGCACCTTAGATGAAGAGGTTTATATGCTTCAACCCCCAGGTTTTGTTCACAATTCTCACCAAGTATGCAAGCTTAAGAAAGCTCTATATGGCCTCAAACAAGCTCCTCAAGCTTGGTTTTCTACCTTCTCTAAATTTCTTCTCTCTCAGGGATTTGTTAACAGTCACTCAAATTCTTTTCTCTTTGTTCAACATACCAAAACTAGTCTTATCATTCTTGTTGTTTATGTTGATGACATCTTGGTTATTGGCAGTGATTCTTCCCTTCTTACTAAGTTTATTCATCACATGCATACTGTTTTCTCCATGAAAGAGTTAGGTCCCGTGTCCTATTTCTTAGGCATCTCTGTTCAATCTTTGCCTCATGGTTATTTCTTGTCTCAAGCTAAGTATGCCACTGAACTTTTTCATAAAGCTGGTTTGACTAATTGCAAACCTTGTTCTACCCCTTTAGCTGTTAAACCTCCTCTTTCTGCTGGTGATGATCTTTCCTTTTCCAATCCTTCTCTTTATCGTAGCCTTGTTGGAGGTTTACAATATCTTACCATTACCCGTCCTGACTTGGCCCTAGCTGTTAATCAGGCCTGCCAGCACATGCATCTTCCCACCAATGCTGATTTTCAGGCTGTTAAACGCCTCTTGAGATATGTGAAGGGCACTCTTCATCATGGTCTTCATTTTACTTCTGGCCCCTTTTCTCTTCATGCTTTTTCAGATTCAAACTGGGCTGGTGACACCGTTGATCGTCGCTCTACTTCAGGATACTGTGTCTATTTGGGTCCTAATTTGATATCTTGGAGTGCTAAGAAACAATCTATTGTTTCTAGATCTTCAACTGAGGCGAAGTATAGAGCTTTGGCTAATGCCACTGTCGAACTCACATGGTTGCAACAACTTCTCAAAGATATGTACATATCTGTTCCTTCTATTCTTGAGCTCTGGTGTGATAATCTATCAGCTATGGCCTTGGCTACTAATCCTGTTTTTTACTCTCGGTCTAAGCATATCGAAATTGATTGTCACTTTATTCGTGATAAAGTTGTTGCCAAGCACATTAATTTACAGTATGTGCCTACCACAGATCAGGTGGCTGACATTTTCACCAAACCTCTTCCTACCTCCCGATTTCAATATTTGAAAGACAAGCTTCTTGTGCTTCCTTGCCCCATCAGGTTGCAGGGGGCTGATAAGATTTCATCTGTAACTGCCTCTGTAACTGAGTAACTGCCTCTGTAACTAACTCTGCATTTCCACAGATCCCTCAGTCCAAGCTTCATCAGTTCACTCAGTCCAAGCCTCATCAGTCACAGCAGTAGTTCAACTGCATCAGAATCAGCATTGATATGTTGTCTATCACAGTCCTGTATTGATAGCAGTCCTCATTATAATATCTGTAACAGTTGTAAAGTTTGTTAATTAGTTAAAAGTGTTTGTTAGTGAATTAGTTAGTGTTAGTTAGTTATAAATATCATCTCTACTGTAATGTAATCATTGAGTGCAGAAAGTAATGAAATAAATCTTCATCTTCCACAATATGTTATACAATCATTTTTGGGTTAATTTTATAAAACTTTTCATGATATTATTTTCATAACATTACTCTTTTATTTTATTTTATTTTATTGTAGGCTGGTCCACTCACTCATTCAGATATATCGGACCAAGCTTTCCCAGTTAGCAGGCACCGAGAGGCATAATTATTCGAGTTCTTCACACAAAATCACTCACTCTCACTCTCTCTCTCTCTCTCTCTCTCTCTCTCTCTCTCTCTCTCACACACACACACACAAAGCACACACACACAGAGCAAACAGTGAGTGTAAGAAATGTCGCAAGTTGGGTTATGTGTGGTTTCAGTGGTTACCATATTGATAAGTCAGTGGCTTTACAAGTGGAGGAACCCAAAATGCAATGGAGTTCGGCCTCCAGGATCTATGGGGCTCCCATTTATTGGAGAAACGTTTCAACTTCTCATTCCCAACTACTCCTTAGATCTCCATCCCTTCATCAAGAAGATAATTGAAAAGTACAATAATCAACTTTTATGTGCACTTGTTCGTTTTGTTGTTTTATTTCTTTAGTAGTGCTTGGTTTGAATATTCTATTTATGGTAGTGGTTGTTGTCAAGGGCGGTTCTAGGGCTAGGCATAGGTAACTGTAGCTTAGTTCAAAATTTAAAAAATTTGTAAAAATTTTTTTCGTAGCCTAGTCCCGTCCCAAATAAAGGTAAATAGTTTTTTTGTTTGTTTTTTAGATAGGCAACCCAATAGCAGCCCAATACTTACCCAAAAAAATAGATAGGTAACCCAATAGGTTTGTATTTGTTTAAAGAACAAATCTTCTGAAATAATCCTCACATCTTCTAATAAATAGGCAGCGACCCTCTCCATCGTCTCCAACAACCTGTAACAGCTCCACTTTCCTAACATTTTTGGTAAATGTAATTAACCAATTATTTTATTTCGTTGGTTGAAAATGGATTTGATTAACAATGGTTTTGAAATTTTGTCTTTATGCAACAAATATTATATTGCCCTTAGTTTTTTTATGATATTGCCTTGTTCAATATTCTATATTACTCTTAGTTTTTGAACTTTGAGGGAGTTTTTTTTGAACATATATAAAAATAATGAAAGCTTAAATAAAAATTATTGAGGATGTATATAAAAACCCTAATATTTAAAATTATTGCGAATATGCTCTGATTTAATATTAAATAGGGCTAAATTTTAATTTTTTTTTTTAGGTTATAAATAATGGAATCTTCACACTCGAAAACAAAAAATCACTTTTCTCATTATATCAAACAAAACAGAAGTCTAGTAGTACAACATCCAATGTTGTTGAAACCTTATTTTGTGATGTTCAACCGCTTTCCATGCCTCAAGCAAATAAACCAAGCGAATTTGATTCAACTGTTATTGAACGAGATCTTGGTTTACGCTTGCAAATTTGTATATATTCTGTTAATCAACAGGATGAGGTTAGACAAGCTTATGTGAACTTGGGGCCTTATTAACCTAAACTTGAGTATCCTAGGTCCTCATTTGGAAAGCAGAATTGCTGATTTTAACATATTTGGTTTAAACAATTTTCTTAGCTGGAGTATTCTCCTTCAAAGGATAAAGTATATTGTTTTTCATGCTTTTTGAAAATTGATTTATATTATACAATCGATGAATTCGAATCTTTAAAGACTTGTCGAGCACAACTTAGTTAGATTGTTTCTAATCAATAAATTTAGATATTAATCTAGATTATATTATTATTATTATTTTTTTGTTATGTGGTTGTACTTAAAATATTGTATAATTTTATCTTAATATTAATCCATCCCATTGACCAATCTGGATCCGCCCTTGGTTGTTGTTGTACACAAACAAACAAAACAGGTATGGAAAAGTGTTTTCAACAAATTTGGTGGGAAGGCCAATGGTGATAACAGCAGATCCAAAGCTGAACAATTACTTGATTCAACAAGAAGGGAGGGAAGTAGAGCTGTGGTATTTGGACACATTCCAGAAGGTATTCGGTCTAGAAGGTGAAGCCAGACCAAATGCTGTTGTTCAGATTCACAAGTACGTCAGAGGCTCCTACTTGAATTTCTTTGGTGTCGACAGGCTCCGGACTAAGTTGCTTCCTGAAATTGAAACCACCGTTCGCATTAACATGCACCGCTGGTCTACCCAAGGAACCACTGATGCCAAAAAAGAAACTGCTAATGTATGTATATATATATACTACTGTATACTACCCACTGCAGCAAACTAAACTATAAACATCTCTCTTTCCATACGGTTTTAATTGATAGAGAGGGGTAGGAGCCCACGATTTATGTTGGGGATAGAGAACAACATGAAGACTAAATAATGGCGATTACCTTAAAGTATAGTCACGTGATGTTCCAAAATTATTAAATAATTTCCCCCCTCTTCATACTTTCTCCTCCGTTTCTTTTTATTACTCCTCCCTCCCTATATCTCGTCATATTTCACAAATCATCCATGCTATTATTATATATATACACAAATAAGTTTAGTGTTTATATATATACACAAATAAGTTTAATGTTCGGATTAGTGTAATGTTATATGGTTACCTAAATGCAATTACTAGATTTTCATTTTTGAAAAAGACTCCCAAACTTTTCGATCATAAATTCATAATTAAAAAGAGTAATGTTATATATAATCTTATTTTTATTCTTAGACATAAAAAATTTATTATTTGATCTTTTCTTAATCATATAGAATAAAATAATAAATAAGTAATGCAAATTTTCGGGAAAAAATAAATCTATTTGTTTCATCTTTAAAAAAAAAATTCAAATAATAAATGCATTACTTAAAATGAAAAATTTTACGTTGTTTATGTAGTGTGGAACAAGTCTTATATTAAATTAGTAGGATGTTATCTAAGTTTAATGTTCGGATTAGTGTAATGTTATATGGTTACCTAAATGCAATTACTAGATTTTCATTTTTGAAAAAGACTCCCAAACTTTTCGATCATAAATTCATAATTAAAAAGAGTAATGTTATATATAATCTTATTTTTATTCTTAGACATAAAAAATTTATTATTTTATCTTTTCTTAATTATATAGAATAAAATAATAAATAATGCAAATTTTCGGGAAAAAATAAATCAATTTGTTTCATCTTTAAAAAAAAATTCAAATAATAAATGCATTATTTAAAATGAAAAATTTTACGTTGTTTATGTAGTGTGGAACAAGTCTTATATTAAATTATTAGGAAGTTATCTAATATTAATTTTAGAGAGATTATTTATCTTTAAGTATTTTATCAATGAAAATAAAGTTTTTTTTTTCATTAAATGATTTAATAGTATCTTAACAATTTAAGGAATTTATTTAATATTGCATGAAATTTAAGAATTTTATTAAATAATGTTAAAATATGTATGAGTCTTTAATAATATATATGCAAAACCTAAGGGGAGGTAAGTGAAATTTCTCATTTGAATATATAAGGTAGCTAATAGACAATTTCGTCATTTTTGATATTATAACCTATGACATCAGCATGACATCAACAATTTCTGTTAAATAGCCTAACAATGGGAGAATCTTGATAATAATTTCAAAAGTTAAGAAAGTTAATGTAATTATTGAAATTATAAGAAAAGTTTCTATAATTATCAAAAACCTTAGGGAGATAAGTGTAATTTATCCTTATTATTATTATTCTTGCATCAAGATCATTCACACACAAACTCTGAGGCTAAGTTAATTAATAGGGAGATGCTATGATGTACACCTTTTAAAAGGTGTACATGGTATGCCTTGTATAATTTTTTTTTATTATAAAATTTCACACAATTTCAAAACATAAATAGAAAATGTCATAATTTTTGTAACGAAAGTCATAACTTTTTTTTTTAATCATAAAATGTCATAACATTATCATTCCTAATTTTAAGATACACATTATAAATTTATAATTTATAATTTTATCACAAAATGACAAAATATACATCAAAAATAACCATAACTTTTATTATAAAAAATCATAATTCATTTTATGATATGCATTTTTTTAGGACTTCTTGTCGTAGATTTCCCCTAATCAATATTTGTTGTCTTGGGTTTTGTAGATGGTGGCAATTTTTGCTGCGAAAACTCTGTTTGGTCATGATTTTGAAAAATCATCTGATGATATAGGAATCACCATTGCTGGATTCGTGGAAGGTCTTTTGTCCTTTCCATTGAACATCCCTGGTACTAAATTCTACAAATGTATGAAGGTAATAACACTAGAAAGCATAAATGTATGGTGCTTCCTTTCTTTTGCTTTTTCATGTTTTTAGATAGAAAAAAAATAAATAAATAAAAAACATCCACTACTTAATTAATTTCCTGTTTCTAATGTTTGTTTACGAAAATCGTTTTAAAAAAATTTAAAACTGATTTTCTGTTATTCACTAAAAAAAAAAGGATTTTTTTTTTTTGGGGGGGGGCTTTTTATTTATTTTTTGAAAACAGAAAACAAAAAACAAAAATTTAATAAATCATTTTGTTGAAAGTAGAGTATGATGAATAATTATAGAGGTGGATTTATGGATTATGATTTTGATTGTAGGATAAGGACAAGTTAGAAAAGGTAATAAGGGCAAAGTTAAAGGAGAGAATAGCTTGTCCAGAGGAAAAGAAAGGGGACTTCCTTGATCAAGCAGTGAAAGACTTGAACACTGACTTCTTCTTGACAGAGAATTTCATCCTATCGATCATCGTTGGAGCTTTGTTTGCTACCGTGGAGTCCATATCCACGGCCATAGCACTGTCTTTTAAGTTATTTGCAGAACACCCTTGGGTGGTGGAGGATCTAGTGGTATGTAATAATGAAATCAACAATCAACATTATTCACTCTAATATTTTTCTCTAATCTAATTTAATTACTATCTATCTATCTATATATATTTCATTCAATTCTTTGTATTATAATTAATATTGATTATTATTTTAGGCGGAGCATGACATTCTTCTCAAAAACAGAGAGAATAAGGAATCTCCACTGACGTGGGATGAATATAAATCCATGACTGTTACCATGCATGTGAGTTTCACACTCTAAACCATGTATATTTGTATATTCTCTTTTTGAAATTAATGGCACATTGCGTCATTATCTTGTGTTGGTATGCCAAAACTGCAGGTTATCAATGAAGTGCTGAGATTGGGAAATGTTGCTCCTGGGATACTAAGAAAAACACTGAAAGATATCAATTATAATGGTAATATATATATATATATATATATATATATATATTTTACCAGTAAACTAAAAATTTCATAAAAAACATGTAATCAAAAGTATAAGAAGATGAAATGTATCAAAAGAGATTCATAAAGTACAATCTATCCTTATTACTGCTACTTGTATCCACACGACTAACTTCTCAACCTCACAATTTTTAAAATATAAATGAACAAAAATAGAAAAAACAAAACAAAAAATAGTTAAGTATATTTTAACCACACTACACCCAATGCTATTGAACTCCAAAGTAAACAATTCCCCAATTTAGTCCATTAACTAGACCTTCAAAATGGGCTTGATCCAGCCCAACTTCTAAATTTATATTGGGCCTTGGCTCCCCCATTACCACTTAAACTTTTCATAAGCCCAACATGGTCCACACATCCTCACCGTTATGACTTTCTTCATCTGACCACTTGTTTGAATTATAATGGTATATATATATATATATGCATCTAAGTTAATTAATGGTCAATGTGTTGTTGTGCGTCTTATAATGGTTATGTATTTCTTCCTCTCTTAATTATGACCTATTAATTTGTGAAGCTATGATTAGGGTTTTACATCTCAAACTTAATTATCTTAGAGTTCAATACCAATTGACTAATTTCAATCTCCAGGTTATACAATTCCAGCAGGTTGGGCCATTATGATTGTTAATTCTACCCTTCAACTAAATCCCGATGTATTTAAAGATCTATTGAAATTCAATCCAAAGCGTTGGAAGGTTGATTTTATTCTCTCTCTCAAAATAAAGAAATTAATGATATAAATTGTTAGTCAGAGATCATTTGTCTCAATATAAATTTTCAATGTGTTGAATTCTAAATCTCAAAATTCTCACACAATCTAATATTATTGATAGTGGTTTGAGATATATGACCAAATCTTTGATTCATTAATGAAAGCAGGACATTGATCCACAAATTGCATCAAAGAATTTTATGCCTTTTGGTGGCGGAACAAGACAATGTGCTGGTGCAGAGTTGGCCAAGTCATTTTTTGCCATCTTTCTCCATGTTTTAGTCAGTGAATACAGGTGTGTTTCCCATTTGTTTCATATTTCATGATTGTTCATGTTGCTTCGATTATAGTGACAAATATGATTTAACAAAAAAAATGGAAGTCATAAACAACTAAATTGGAACAAAAGAAAATAATAAAATTCATTTCTTAGTATGCATTTAGTTAAGATAATATATCTTTGTGATGAATTTGTAACAGTGGACTACTTTCACAAGAGAAAAAAGAGAGGATGAAATTGGAAATTAAGTTAACATGTTAATCAGATTTGTAATTTTTTTTTTCTCATTTAAAAAAAAGTTTTAATGTAATTTTTTCATTTTTGTTTTTTATTCTGATAGGTGGACCAAAATTAAGGGAGGGGACATAGTTACGATTTGAAGATGGCATGCATATTAAGGTTTCTAAGAAACATGCATAATTATGAAACACCACCAGTATTCAAATGTCATATTTATTTTTCTTATTTGGGTTTGGATCTATGTTTGTGTTTGTGTCAGTGTTGGGGCATGTAAAAACTATGATGGGCAGCATTGAGCTGGTTATAATTTATGTTTGTTTACGAACTAGGTAAATTACGGCTTGCAACACATGCCGTAAAAACTCTTTCACGACATGCATACAAATGTTGTTATATGACATGCCGTGAAAAGTTGAGCGTCATTTACGGCACACAGGTAAAGTTATAAAAAGTAATAAATTAAACATTAATGACATACTTTGTATGTTGTATATAATTTTACGACATTTTTGTCATGCCATAAATCGTCACACTTTTCATGACATAATTTTGCATGCTATAGAAGGTTATTTTTATATATTTATGGCATACCTTGTATGTCGTATATAATATTTTACGACATTTTCTTCCATGTCAGAAATAATTACACTTTTCACGTCATAATTTTGTATGCTGTAGAAGGCCGTTTTTAATATATTTATGACAAACTTTGTATGCCGTATATAATCTTTTGCAGCATTTTCTTGCATGTCATAAATCAGTACACATTTCACGACATAATTTTATATGCCGTAGAAGGTTATTTCTAATATATAATATATATACATGAATATAACATTGCCTAACAGTATGCAGACAATAACTTATAAAATGCAACCTGTGAATAAACCAAGCAAAAGCAGCAACTATGAAGTAAGCAAAAAAAAAAAAAAAAAAAATCTAATATTCATACACCAAACAACCCGCAAATTAACTTCCATCATCAACTTCTATCATATCAAGCTGATAACAACTTCAGATATATAAACCAAGAAAAGCATCCAAATTATAAGATTCACTAATCTCTAAAATACGACTTTAAACATCCAAAAAACATAACTACAAATCGTAAATCAATTAGTCTAATATTTAGTCCGAAAGAATGAATTGACTAAGCCATACAACTATACTTCCTATTGCATCTTGAAGATTATACATTTCATGAGTAGAACGAAACAACGACACGTTGACTATTACGTGGCTCACCCATACTTTCCAACATAAGGCCAAGGGTCACATGATGCACCTTTGACTTAGGACCCCTTGATGCAATTTGGCCTTCTGCAACCACCAGGTTGTCCCCTCCCAATGCAAATACTTTGATCCGACCAAAATTAGGAGTATATAAGCATATTACATAGCATTCATCCCATTTACCGAGTATTAGTTCAACAAATGAAATGAAAGTGTCAAAAAGTTTCAATCAGATTAAAAAAAATTATTTATGTTGACAAAGTTAGAGTTGGTTACAGCACATGGGGGGCTTGAAATGTCTATTTCGCTATTACTTTCAAAGGATGTATTCTCTCTACTAAGGTTTTAATGTGGTTTCCTCCTTTCATTAATTGTGAGGTCTTAGTTTTGAGGACTAGAAAAATGACTTTTTCCTCCTAATTGGAAATGATCCTTGTTATAGTATCTGAGAATTGTTACATTGAAAGAAACAAACTATATTACTATCGTCTTATAATGCCCTCTGTTGCCAGGCAACACAATTCCTGATGTCTCGTGATATGTTTATAGGATATCAAAGATTTTGTCAATTTTCATTTCGATTCACTAAGACCTTTTGGATCTCAAGTCAGAAGCGTCAATTTTCGTTTCAAAATGGAATGTAATAACAACACCATTACTAAATGCAATCAATAGAGAACATACCTATCATATCTAGAAAGATTTGCATCCATAAAACTTGCATCAACTCCAACATTATGCTTGTTCAATTAATTGCCCCTATCCAAAAAAAAAAATGAAGAAGAAGAAGAAAAGTCTCAATGCTCATCAAGATGGAGGCTAAGAAAGAACAAACAAATTAAATGAGGAGGTCGAATGATAATGCTGATTACGAGAGTGGTGAAAGACATAATTTCTTCCATTGCTCATCCTACTCAAAGCTACTTTTGGAATCTAGTCCAAATTCATAGACTACTAGATGATGAGGACCATAACATAGTAGGAAGGCAAACAAATATTGAATAAATTGGCCCAAGTCAAAGTCATATTTTAAGATACATCACCAGCATTACATATATACATATATACATCACCACCATTACATACATATACATATATAAAGGAGTTGAAGGAATAAAAAAGTAGTTCCTTTGCTTACATTAGAAAAGTAGAATTAATACAATCACATCATATTCCTCCATATCATAGTGATGCAAAATCTCAAGATATGAGAACAAATCAGTAGTAGCATCATTGACAAAAACCAACTGGAAAGATGGCTGGCTACATGTAAATGTAATCTATAGACAAACACTAGTCTCTTCATTGAGGTAGCCGGCCTAGAGCAAACACATTTTACGGGCACCATCACTACCAGTATTATCATCTCACCAAAATCGATGAGAAAGCGCTGGAAATTAAGTTCATGCTGGCAATGACCGTCTGTTTGCCCAAAACTTAAATTTTCTCAACAAAGAAGGGTAACCAAACCACCATAGGATAGGATTTGACATTGACTTGGGAGAACTATTTTCTCAACTGTTGTTTTTACCTTAAAAAGTAAGGAAATTTTTCTAGCCAATTAATATTTGATTAAGTTTGAATATTTACAAGGAGAGTGAATTAGATCCCTAAAATTAGAACTGACTTTTTTCAAACCCTACCAATAGTAAAACAATCAAAACTCGAATTAATCAAACAAATAACATACATATCGAATAAAAAAGGTTGACTGAGAGAGAGAGAAACTGAATTGAGACCTTTTCCAAAGATCGCGGTGGGATTTGGTGGAGACAAAGGCTAGAGAGGTGTATGAGCTTCAAACAAAATGAGCAATCATAGAAGTGGAAACCCTAGAAATCAAAATCAAAATCAAAATCAAATGAGAGAGGAGAAACTGAATTAATCGAATAAATTCAATAAAGTGCTGCTCTGTTTTTTCATGTATATCTGAATAAGTTAATTGAACAAGGGATGTAATTCAAGGCTCTCACATTCCCAAACTAATAGATATGCAAACACTGAATTAATCGAATAGAAACTGAAAAAATAGATATGCAACCAACAATATATACCAAATTAATCAAATGGAGAAACTGATTCAAAATCAAATCAAAATCAAAGAGAGATGAGAGATGAGAACCCAAGAAATCAAAATCAAAACTCTAGAAATTAAAATCAAAATCAAAGAGAGATGAGAGAGGAGAAACTGAATTAATCGAATAAGGGATGTAATTCAAGGCTCTCATTGAATTTATCAAATAAAAACTGAAAAAAAAAATAGATATGCAAGCTACAATATATACCAAATTATTTTTGTATTAAAAAAAATCAAGATTATAACTAAAAAATCTAGTTTATTGGAAAAGAAAAAAAAAATTTCTCATATCCACTAGAAATTTATAAATATTTAAGAACATCTAGAATTTTATTTTTATTATATATAATTAAAATATAATTTCTCTAGAGAATAATTAAAATATAATTTTTTTTTTTTTTACGACATGAAATGTATTTTGTCTTTAAGTGCAAATATTTTATAACATATTTTTGTATGTAATGAAAATATACATTTTTTATGGCATACTTTTGCATATCATAACAAAATCGGATTGAATTTTTTTTTTATTTTTTTTACATTTTTTGTAGAAGTTTTCACAACATGCATTAGCATATAAAATTATAACATTTTACAACATGAAATGTATATTGTCTTAAGTACAAATATTTTATGAAATATTTTTGTAAGTCATAAAAACATACATTTTTTATGGCTTACTTTTGCATGTCATAAATATATGAATTTACGACTTACATGATATGTATGCTATTATTGAAAAAACATTAATGACTTGCCAAAAAAAAAAAATTGTCGTAAAATGCATGCGGTAAACATGATACCGTAAATAGTTAATTTTGTTGTAGTGAGTTGAATTTACCTTTTATCCTTTAAATAAAGAAAGAAGATCTAGCTCTTCGCCTTTTTGTATTAAATTTTAATTTATTTAATAAATTTTAGTTGGATAGAATATGATGATAATTGGTTGGTTTATAGGTGCAACTGAATTCACGAGGGTGTTGGAGTGGTTGAGTGGGTCTCGGGTCTCATCTTGTCAGACATACAGACAAACCCTTAAGAATTCACCAGTGGGTGTTTGTCGCAAGGGCCCTCCAATAACAAAGTTAGTTCTTTGGAAGTAGTATCCAAATGGAGGAATGTAGAGATATGCGAATAAGATACCTGGAGTGCATGTATTCATGGATATACGTATAAAGAAATCTAAGGGTAAAGTAACAGCGTGTCTCTAATGTATTTTGCCCATTTCGTGGATCGCCACGTGGTATACTTCCCTTGGGGCATTTACAACCGTACTTGTTAAGGGAGAGCAACGGATATTTCGATTCATCCAAACTGACCAAACCGAATCGATCCGCTGCATTTTGGATGGATGCATGATAACGAATGAACGGTTGCGGATTGATTTTTTTCAATCCACCTAATTAAACGAATGGCGAATTTGGGGTTCTTTTGACTGCAGCTGAACCGTCAAACCATGAGCATCTCTAGTAATTTTTAAGATTTTGTGTTTTCAATTCGTTTAGATATTCTATTTGTGTTTTCAATTGAAAAATAGTTTAGATATTCTATTGTATTTTGAATTTATTTTCAATTTGGAAATCCTTTTAACAAATGGAAAGGATTGATATTTGATATTTTTGTGTGGAAAATATAGGGCTTAATTTTGTCATATTTTTTTTGGAAATCAAATTAAATAGTTTTTGAATTAAAAAAAAGTAATGACATAGTTTTGATAATGCATGGTTTTCTTATATGTATTTATTATTAGTACTTGACAATTTACTTGATAATTTTTTGGTTATGTTAGTTGGATTGTTATCCAAAAAAAAAATGTTGACAAGTTGTTGTATTATGCTCAAAATTTGTAAAAGTTTAAATTGTCAAACCGATTCGCATCTATCCGTTAATCCACCAATCCGCTCAATCTACATCCGTCAATTCGGCAGACGGATGCGGATTGATTTTTTTGAATTCACCCATCCGATGAACGGATAACGGATTGGAGGTTTCCCAGTCACAACCAAAACGCGAACACCCCTAGTACTTGCTAATGCAAAATAATTGAAAACCAAAGTGCAAGCTATCACAAATAAAAATGCTAGAGATCCCAAAAGTTTTACTAACATTTCTACCAAATGTCTCACATATTCTAATAAAAATGCTAGGCTTCACCTCTAACCTTACTAGAAAATTAGAAACTCATGGCTCTGAAATAAAATCCCATAAATGAAGTGCTAATCATACTTAAATAAAAAAGAAACAAAGTAAGAAAAAATTCATTTTTGTTTTCATCATCAGGATACTTGGGAGGGTGCACAAGTCAATGGCATTAAAATTAGTCTACCCATGTGATAAATATAGGTTCCATACAATTATTAGATTGGTTTATACATGTATTTGGATTACGATAGTAGAATTCGGAATCTATTAGGGATCTTAATATGTGTAGGATTACCTAATTGTATGAAATTAGGATTCTCAATGATAGACTATTATAAATAGTCATTTGGACTATAGGGTTTTCCTGAGAGAGATTGAGAGATTGTGAGGGAGAAAAATAGAGATGTAAGGTGTGAGAGAAAAGAATACCGCGTGGGCAACAAGGTGAGCAAGGGCTCAACTACCCTTGAGCATGGGGTTCAGGTAGTGGTGTGGGCACATGTATTCTCTGATAGTGGAAGTTCTCTCTCCGTCAATGTAGGCAATTTGGACCAAACTACATAATCTACGTTTGATTATTTTTCTCTATTTTATGTGCGTGGGTATGCTTCTATTTGCATTGGTAGGATATGGTATAAATCTCAACAAGTAGTATCAGAGCTTATGGTTATCAATCCTAGGTGCGGTTACTGCACACGGAGGACTTACACAACAGACAAAAAGGAATCCTGGTCGTACAAAAAAAAAAAAAAAAATCCAAAATCCAAAATCCGATGAAGGCAATGCAATGGAAACATTGATTAATTGGAACACAATGCACAATTGAGGGTTTGGGTTTGTGTCTTTGTCTTGTTAATGGATTATAATCTTGTGTGACAAAAATCATAAAATAAAAAGTTTAGAATATTTTTGTTATATCAGTGTGTATATATTATAGAAAAATTCAAGGTGAAGGTGGTTCCCAAGGTTTTCAATCCTTGCGGATTCATTGGTACAGTCAAATTTTTCAAATTCTGAATAGGTTTAAAGGGATTGGACAGATTTCGCGGTGATCTAGGTGATCAAGTTTGGTTGCGGGTTGATCAATGGTGATCTAAGAGTAATCTAATTCAATCAACAAGGAAGTCTAATCTTTGTGGGGTCAGTCAAAGTGTTTTTTTTTTTCCTGATTGGACATCATGATTGGCAACTTTTATAGGCTTGTGGAGTATGTTGTGACAAGAGAGAAGTTGTTGTCAAACATCAGACAAACAATATGAGTTATGGATGAATAGTGGTGAGCAACAGTTGCTAGGATATTTGGTGGCCAATAAGAGGAAGTCAATGGGTTGCTGGATGTTCACAAAAGGAAGCTTCAGGCATAGAATCTGAAACGGTTTCGCTACAAGATGGTGTACACCAAAGAAGGAAGTTGGGTCTCTTTTCAATTGAGGTTTAATTCGTGATAATGAAGACACATTAGGGAGGTACGACAGTTCTCATGGGCTTGAGTATGAGGATAGAGGAAGCTATGAAGCACATGTTTGAGCATTATTGTGTGAGTTGCAAATAGCATGGGCACTCGGTTCAAGGGGGTGCAACATCTTCTAAGTGAAGATGAAGTGTATCACGCAAACCAGGACATCTAGGTTGGAGGATGCATATAAAATTTACCCCACATGGGTGGCGAGGGTGATTGGGTCAGTCAAAATTAGGTGTCTACAAGTTGGTGGACCAAAAACCCTGTTGCTGGTTGTTTTCTTGAGTGTTTTCCCTCTTTTTGTACAATTCGGGTTCGTCTGTGCTCACTTTTGAAAGAAATAGGTTTTTTTTTTTTTTTTTTTTAATTGTGAAAATGTAGAGTTGGACTTAGTAGAATGCTCGAAATGACGTCTTGAATCCTTGAAAACTCTTTTTGAAAACATTTTAAGGACTTGAAAATAATTTCATCTAAAAATGAGTTTAAGGTTGGGAATTATATCCATTTGAAAGGTTGCTTGAAGACAATTGAGATCCATCATTTGTTCATCATCGAGGAATCATCTAAGTCTTAAGGCCGGTCAAAAATAGAGTGTTTATAATTGGATCCCCTCCAATGATGGATATAAATCATTCTATAGTGCAAATCAGTCTCCTGCATCTCTAATTGTCAAGACTTGGCAGCTTGAAATTTTGCCAAGTGTCTCATGATTTCTGTCTTGAAGGACAATTCTAGCAACCACTTTGATCACTAAAGGTTAACCTCCCCAAATTTGTTCTTTATGTGGTAGGAACATGGCCCGCTAAGTCCCAACTAATTTTCACATGTACTCTAACTTAGCAACTAATTGGGAACATGGAGTAACTTCCAACATTATTGTATGATATGGGAGTCAACTACTTTCTATTTCTAGGAACAGTTGGGCTGATTTAATCTCTCTCTTCTTGATGCATTTAATTAAGAAAAATGATCCGGACCCCTTTTCTCCCCTACCCCCTTTGACCCCCTCTCTTTCTGTTTGGCCAATTTTTTTTTTTTTTCCCTTCTCCTCCAATCACCACCTGGCACATGTGTGTGGGGGGTGGTGATTGGAAGGGGTCTCAATCACATCCCTTTAATTAATAATGGAATTATGGCTACCACGTCATCGTTTAGTCCTATTATTCTTGCAATACCATTGTCATTTCATGTATCTTCTGCGCCATCAATCCTTTGCCATGTGGTCATTTGACCAGTCTTCTTTTGCGACTTCATCAGAACTTTGTAGCACTCTGCCTTATCAACATTCTAGGAGTTATGGTCATCTTGCCACCACTTTTCTGTAAAGTTTTGCTTCACATCTAGAACGACTATGAATTCTTGCATCATGGTTCAAAACTTTTATGAGTTCTTTCACCATAGTCCAGACTGAATACTAGTTTCTGCCCAATGTTCCAGGCCGATTGTTAGGTAGTTTCTACACTATATTCCAAGTTGAATGTTAGTTTTTGCACTGTATTCTAAGCTAAATGTCAGGTAATATATGCACTACATTCTATGATGTTGTGAATTCTTGAGAAATGTGTTGGAGGCCTTGCCATTCTTGTAATTTGT